TCTTTTTCTACTAAATGACCCCTGGTGGAGTCTAATAGTATTTTATGCAACTGAGGTCCCTGTTCTCCCCAGGCTCCACCCCCAAATCTCCAGGAGTTTCCCAACCCAGATCGGGTAACCCTATCCACCCCCATCCCCTGCTGGTGGCCGGGGTGGGGGTGGGGGACCTGGCAACACTAACTCTAGCTAGTATTTGTATTTTTCATATGTGCATGTGTATGTGTGCATGTGTGCACCTGGAAGTCACGGAGACCTCTGGTGACTGACCCCTACTGGGGGCTTGGGGGATATTCAGAGAGGTGGCTGAATAAAGCCTGCCCCTGCCTCCCGACTGCTGGTATTCCAAGGAGGTCTCCCTTCCGAGTACTTGCCAGAGTTAACCCGGCTTAGCTTCTGAGACCTGACGAGATTGGGCTTACCTGGTCTATCCAAATCAGGGTGTCTAGGATTTGGATGGGAGACCTCCAAGGAATACCAGAGTTGCGACTCAGAGGCAGGCAACGGCAAAACGCCTCTGAACAGCTCCCGCCGTGAAACCCCCCCGGGGTCGCCATAAATCATCTCCGACTTGATGGCAAACAAAAAAAAAAAAAGAAAAGTAAAGGGCACAGGGTATATTTATTGCCCCAAATGTGCTTTAAAATGTCCAGAACGGGGTGACAGGTATATTTCAAAGATTTATGACTGGGACAGCCTGTGCTAAAAATGGCCACATCATCAGGAGCTGAATGTTGTGCAAATTATGCAGCCTGGACAAAATTTGCATGGTTTTTGCATTTTTTTTGCTATTTTGCATAATTTATGCCACCTTTCCTAATCTGAGGGAGGAGGAATAAGGGCAGCGGCGCCCCACTCCCGATAACTGGAGATCTGGTTCCGCAAGCCCTCTGGCATCTGAGATTACCACAAGCTTTGCCCGCATGCTTTCGAGCATAGTACGTTTGCAACCACAAGTGCTGGAACACCTTCCCTCCTTTCCTTTTTATTTAAATCAAAGTTGAGATTTTCAGGAAGCCGAATTCCATACCCAATGCCGCCTTCTGCACCTTTCCCCTCCAAGGCACTCATCTCATTGTACGTGGCTCTCTGCTCTTCCCTTTTATCCTCACTACAGCCCTTTGAGGCAGGGGTCATTTCGTAGAAAAAGAGGTGCAGGGGCTCATGAGCATAACTCATTAGCATAACTTATTTGCATATGCCACACCCTCTGGCATCACCGGAAGTGTGTCAGAAGGCAACACACACCGCTCAGGCTCCGCTGGACTGTTTTGGATTGCTAGCTATGGGGTGGAGGGAATGTGCAGATCTGTCCTCGCAGAGGAGGGAGAGCTTGTACCTGAATAAAACTTGGTCTTAATGGTGCCACTGGACTGTTTTGGGCCGGGGGGCCGGTGGGGGGGCTCTGCAACTTACCTGGCAGCTTCTTGCTCTGACTGAGGGCTGCTGGGAGCAGGGGGGTGGGGCTTGTTGCATGTGAAGGGAAGGGAACTTTGTGATTATTATAATGGCATAAAATGTGTTCGTGGATTAGCGTGCTGTTGATTTCCTGTATTCATAAGCGAACAAACTGCAGAACTGGGGGCCACCTTGTGCATGGCCATTGTGGCAAAGGTTCCTGTCCTCCCTGCCCTCAGTTGAATTATTCAGGGCTGTAGCACTTTCCTGGAGATGAAGGCGGCAGAGATATCATCTTCTCCACACCTAGGACACACCTAGACCAGGCACATAATATTGATGAATGGCTATACAACCCTAAGCAAAGTCAGGGGTCATTTCCTGCAGGAGCTCACAGGAGCGGACCTCCGGCAGTAAAGAGCCCAGGGGGCGGGCACATGCAACAAACCCCACCCCCTGCTCCCAGCAGCCCTCAGTCAGAGCAAGAAGCAGCCAGGTAAGTTGCAGAGCCCGCCCGGCCCCCCGGTCCAAAACAGTCCAAGTTTTATTCAGGTACAAGCTCTCCCTCCTCTGTGAAGACAGATCTGCACGTTCCCCCCCCCAATAGCTAGCAATCCAAAACAGTCCAGTGGAGCCTGAGCGGTGGGGGTTGCCTGCTGACACACTTCCGGTGATGTCAGGGGGTGTGGCATATGCAAATAAGTTATGCTAATGAGTTATGCTAATGAGCTCCGGCACCTCTTTTTCTACGAAATGACCCCTGAGCAAAGTTAACACTCTGTAAGCCACTGATTTCAATGGACTTAGAAGGCTGTACCTCTGCTTAGGATAACACGATGGATCACCTAATGTCCTTACTTTTCTTAAAAGTAGCCATTGGGGTGTGTGTGTGTTCCATGGCTCTCCTGCAGCATTTCTCACTTACAGCATCTTCCCCCTTCCCCATCAATTATTAGCCTCAGTAAGGAAAAAAGACTGGCTGCCTGTCTAGCCTGTCTTTTTTCTCTACTGGATCTAATTGATGGTGGGAGGAGGATGCAGTTTGCATCTAAAGAAAATCATGGGGTACAGGGAAGACTTATCTTCCACAGTAGAGACAAAGCCAGTGTGGTGTCGTGGTTGAGAGCGGTGGACTCTAATCTGGAGAACCGGGTTTCATTCCCCACTGCTCCACATGCAGCCAGCTGGGTGACCTTGGGTCAGTCACAGTTCTCTCAGAGCTCTCTCAGCCCTACCTGCCTCACAAGGTGCCCGCTGTGGGGAGAGGAAGGGAAGGCGATTGTAAGCCGCTTTGAGACTTCTTCTGGTAGTGAAAGTCGGGGTATAAAAACCAACTCTTCTACTACTATCCTCTTGTCACGGTATTGCAGTTCTGATCCAGTTTGGTCCCGACCCATGATTACGCTTAAAGAAAGTTAAATGAGCTGTGGTGGCTCAAGTGGTTAAGAGGCTGAACTGCAGGCTGTGGAAGGTCGGTAGTTCAGCAGTTCGAGACCCGAGTTGCCGCATGATGGAGTGAGCTCTCGTCTCTAGTTCCAGCTCCTGCCAACCTAGCAGTTCGAAAGCAATAAATTGCAAGTAGATAAATAGGTACCACTTCGGTGGGAAGGTCACAGCGTTCCGTGCGCCTTGGTGTTTAGTCATGCCGGCCACATGAACACGGATGGACCAGGGAGGGTCCATCTAGTCCAGTATCCTGTCTCACACGGTGGCCAACCAGTTCCTCTAGAGGTCCAACAACAAGGCATAGAGGCTGAGGTCTTCCCCTCATGTTGCCTCCTGGCACTGGGATCCAGAGATTTACTACCTCTGAATGTTCAGGTTTCCTTTAGTAGCAACTGATAGACCTTTCCTCATAAGAACATAAGAGAAGCCATTTTGGATCAGGCCAGTGGCCCATCCAGTCCAACACTCTGGGTGCGTTCAGACGCGGCGTTTGCAACGGTATAGGTGCCGGTTGCAGTCGGTGTACTTACCGGCGTTCACACGTAGAACATCTGCCTTCCGTCCCTAACCATTGCAAAGCCCTTTAAACCGTTGTACTTTGCCACTAGGTCCCCAAGTGGTGGTATCCTGAGTACAACGGTTGTAATCGCTTAACCCCCCGTCTGATCGCTCTCCAACGTTGCAGAGCCACTTCCGTTCGGAAGCCTGAGGCTTCCGATTTTCGCCGGCCATTTTTTTGTAAAGGTCGGTGATATGCGCTTGGGCGAAGCTTCGCCCTGGCGTTTGTTTTTTTAAAAAGGGGGGGCTTAGTTTAGCGTTTCAGAGGCGTCCGGGACCTCAGGGAGGCTACTTTGCTCTTTAAACTTTAAAGGTAAGTCCTTACCTTTAAAGTTTAAATGTAAGACGGGGTTTTTTTGCGCATGCGCAAAGATCGCCATTCCGTGGATGGCTGCCTATGCGCATGCACAAACTGAGTTAAAAAAACAAACAAACCGCCGATGCCCGCTGCGTGTGGATGGGCATACAACGATGGGCTCCGCAGACAGGAGGTAAGTGTGATCGCGTTTCAGACGGCATAGACTGCACCGGTTCCAACCGGTACAGTTTATGCCGGCTGAAACGGTGCATCTGAACGCACCCTCTGTGTCACACAGTGGTGAAAACCAGGGGTCATTTCATAGAAAAAGAGGTGCAGGAGCTCATTAGCATAACTTATTAGCATAACTTATTTGCATATGCCACACCCCCTGACATCACCGGAAGTGTGTCAGCAGGCAACCCCCACCGCTCAGGCTCCACTGGACTGTTTTGGATTGCTAGCTAAAGGCGGGCTGGGGGAGGGGCTCAGCAACTTACCTGGCTGCTTCTTGCTCCTTGTGGCCCAACTGAGGGCTGCTGGGAGCAGGGTTTGTTGCATGTGCCCGCCCCCTGGGCTTCTTACTGCCAGAGCTCCGCTCCTGTGTGCTCCCGCAGGAAATGACCCCTGCTCAAAACCCAGGTGCAAGCATCAGGAGGTCCACCAGCAGGGCTAGAACTTCAGAAGCCCTCCCGCTGTTGCCCCCCAAGCACCAAGAATACAGAGCATCACCGCCCCAGACACAGTGTTCCATTTAAACCTTGTGGTTAATGGGCAATGATGGACCTCTGCTGCATATGTTTCTCCAGTCCCCTCTTGAAGCTGTCTCCGTGAATCTAATGGAAATGACCCCTGGTCAAAACCCAGGGGCAAGCATCAGGAGATCCACCAGCAGGGCTAGAACTCCAGAAGCCCTCCCGCTGTTGCCCCCCAAGCACCAAGAATACAGAGCATCACCGCCCCAGACACAGTGTTCCATTTAAACCTTGTGGTTAATGGGCACTGAGGGACCTCTGCTGCATATGTTTCTCCAGTACCCTCTTGAAGCTGTCTCCGTGAATCTAATCCCCTTTTAAAGGGGGATTTACTTTCACCCCAGGGATGTCTTGAGGTTTGATCACAGATCTCTGATGACTCACTTAGATGAGTCCTCAATTGTCCTTTTCCCAAACAGAAAACAACAAGAACACACACACACACCCTTTTTCATCTTCCCCAAAGGGAAGGCGCTTCGGCCCCTTGATTGTTTTAGCTGTCTTTTTGTTTATTTCCCCCAGTTATATAGTACCGCTTTTGAGACCGGGTAACTACAATGGAGCTGCGGTGGCTCAAGTGGTTAAGACGCTGAACTGCAGGCTGTGGAAGGTCGGTAGTTCAGCAGTTCGAGACCCGGGTGCCGCATGACAGAGTGAGCTCCCGTCTCTAGTTCCAGCTCCTGCCAACCTAGCAGTTCGAAAGAAAGAAATTGCAAGTAGATAAATAGGTACCACTTCGGTGGGAAGGTAACAGCGTTCCGTGCACCTTGGTGTTTAGTCATGCCGGCCACATGACCACGGAAATGTCTTCGGACAGCGCTGGCTCTTTGGCTTTGAAGCGGAGATGAGCACCGCAACCCTAGAGTCGGATTCGACTGGCTTTCGAGCAAGGGAACCTTTACCTTTAACCACAATGGCATGCAGGATTTATCTGGAACACACGCTGCCCATGCGTACACACGATGTCTAATTGTACCACGCTTCGTTCCTAGTATGAGAGTCCCTGCTCAGGAAGAAATGGGTGCCCCGCAAAATGGGATGACCCGCCACCGCCCCGTCATCAAGCTCTGAGCAAGATCTCGGCTCTCGAGAACCGGATCAAGGAGCTGCATCACCGGAAGAAGGAGATGAACATCGAGGTACGTCCGGGCCTGTACTTTTCCCTCCCTGGTGTCACGGGGACAAGAATGTCTGCAGGGCAGCCACTGACACCTGTAAAACAGGTATTGTGGAGGCACCACGCCTTGGCAGGCGGGGGAGTGCAGGGGAAGGACGGGGGGGAAAGTCACAGATAAGACCGAGATCAGAACCTTCCGGCTGTACAGAACAGGACGGATCCGTCATCGTGGCTGTCCTACTGTGGGGAGTACGTCCAAGTGGTTAGGTCAGTGTAGAGCAGAAGACAGGATCTCCCAGAGGCCTGTAGTTATGGTGGGGCTTTGGGGGGCTCTTTCTTCCCCCTTTTTAAAAGGCACAGCTCCACAAGAATTTCTCCTGTAAATGTTTCTTTCAATCATTTTAAAACATTTTTTTTAAGGTGCGTGCTTCTTTTAAGCAGAGTGGGGTGCTGTAGTTGACTAATTCCCGCACTGAGAAAGGGGGTTGGAGTAGGTGACCTCTAGGATCCCTTCTAACTCTGTGTCAAGAAACTGGTCTCCTTTAAGAGAGTTTTCCCTGCCTAAGTGTTAGCTTTCTTGACTATTGCTTCGGCTGGCAGAAGTGATTAACTTGCAGCAGCTGAGAACTGTCATCTCAAGTGGTCGACAGCTTGCAATGTAGAGATCTCTCCTGGGAAGAGCTTTCTGTTGGCTTAAGTGGCTTTTCTTTCTGCGCTGAGCACGTCACTGAAAACTTGCCCCACAAGCCACAAAATCCTGGCGACGGGGCTTGATCTCCCAGGCTTCTGTCCTTTGCACCTTTGCCCCCTGGTGGCCTCACAGAGCCTTGCAAGACCGGATCTGGACCCAGACTGAGTTTGGACCCAGGGTTTTTTGACACGGTTCCCTTCCCCAGCAGATGGACTTGGAAGGGGCCTTGCTGGAAGGAGAGCTGAAGGGAGAGAGAGAGGAGCTGCGGCAGGAGGAGGAGCGGCTGCTGGAACTGCAGAGGCGGCTGGTGGAGACGGAGCGCAGGTGCCAAGCGGAGCGAGAGAAGGTGAGGAGTGGCGCGGCGGCGTTCCCCTCCCAGGGCGGCTCTCAGCCTGGCTCTTTGCCAGTTGCCTCCAGGGGGAGCGGAGGATGCAATTCGTGTCGCGTACACCCATCTCTCTGCCTGTTTAGTTTCTGAAATGGAGGCAATGCACAAGCTGGTTGTGTGGTGCTCATTATACTGGATTTAAGACGAGAAAATAAGAAGTTGTGGGGAGGGAGGGGAAAGGAGCGGCCACTGAGAAGCACAGTCACAAGAAACTTGTAGTTGACCCCCCCGGCTGAGAGCCAGTTTGGTGTGGTGGTTAAGAGTGTGGACTCTAATCTGGAAAAACCGGGTTTGATCCCCCACTCCTCCACGTGCAGCTGCTGGTGTGACCTTGGGTCAGTCACAAGTTCTCTCAGAGCCGTTCTCTCAAGAGCAGTCCTCGAAAGGGCTCTCTCAGCCAGTGTTCCCTCTAAGCTGAGTTGGTGCGAGCTGGCTCACAGTCTTTTAGCCTCCGGCTCACAGTTTTGTCTTAGCTCAGGAAGGAGGGCTCTAGAGCAAACTAACTTATGCAGTAGCCAAATCGCACAACTTTAATGCCAGTATCTCATGATGCAGAATTTCTGCTCACAAGACTGCACAGCTTAGAGGGAGCATTGCTCTCAGCCCCACTGACCTCACAGGGTGTCTGTGGTGGAGAGAGGAAGGGAAAGAAGATTGTCAGCGGCTCTGAGACTCGTTCAGGTAGTGAAGGGCGGGGTATAAATCCAATCTCTTCTTCTTGCAGAAGGTCCCAGGTTCAATCCCCAGCCTCTCCAGTTAAAAAGGACCAGGCAGGAGGTGATGGGAAAGACCTCCACCTGAGACCCTGGAGAGCCATGAAGTGGGGCTGTAGCTCAGTGGAAGAGCCTCTGCTTGGCATGCAGAAGGTCCCAGGTTCAATCCCCGGCATCTCCAGTTAAAAAGGACCAGGCAGGAGGTGATGGGAAAGACCTCGGCCCGAGACCCTGGAGATCCATCAACTGGGGCCATAGCTCAGTGGAAGAGCCTCTGCTTGGCATGCAGAAGGTCCCAGGTTCAATCCTTGGCATCTCCAGTTAAAAAGGACCAGGCAGGAGGTGATGGGAAAGACCTCGGCCCGAGACCCTGGAGAGCCATGAACTGGGGCCATAGCTCAGTGGAAGAGGCTCTGCTTGGCATGCAGAAGGTCCCAGGTTCAATCCTTGGCATCTCCAGTTAAAAAGGACCAGGCAGGAGGTGATGGGAAAGACCTCGGCCCGAGACCCTGGAGAGCCATGAACTGGGGCCATAGCTCAGTGGAAGAGGCTCTGCTTGGCATGCAGAAGGTCCCAGGTTCAATCCTTGGCATCTCCAGTTAAAAAGGACCAGGCAGGAGGTGATGTGAAAGACCTCTCTGCCTGAGACCCTGGAGAGTGGCTGCCGGTCTGAGTAGGCAATGCTGGCTGTGATGGATCAGTGGTCTGATCCAGGATAAGGCAGCTTCAGGATGAGGCTGTGGCTCAGCGGAGGCGGAAGGTCGCACATTCCACAACTTCTCCAGTTAAAAGGACCAGGAGGTAAAATAACAGGAAAACCACACCGAAGCGCGACAGAGCTGCTGCCAGCCGGAGCGGACAAGGCTGGCCTTGACTCAGAATCTGCTTTCTGTAAAAACAGAAACGAGAGGCCCGCAGGCAAAGATCTGTTTATTTCCATGCGCTCCTGACGTCCTTGCCTTTGCGGTTCCTGCCCACGGTCTTGCCGTTTCCTTTCTCTTTCTCCTCGTTATCCTTCCCCTGCCCTTCTCCCCGTCTGCTGTTGGATGTTCATTCCCCTTACCGGCCGGTCCCAGCTCCCTGCCTCCTTTGGCCTCCTTTGGCCTCCTTTGGCCTCCTTTTCTCCCCCCTCTTCGGCCTGTCCCTGATTTGGGGCACTGATCAGCCGCAATCGAAGCATCCCTGCCACAAAAAGGCCACTCTGTGCTTCCATATAAAAGACGTTTGTTAACAGAAAGCAGACCGAGACGAGGAACTGACAGGCGCTGCAGTTTGGAGATCACTTGCAGTTCCAGGAGAGTTCCAGGCCTCACCTGGAGGCTGGCGACCCTAAACAGCAACCAGATGTTCTTTTAAAAAAAGCATAAAAACAGCTGTTCTGAGGCTCTCGCCGTATCAAGAGCCAAACAGACATCATGCCAGGGTGGCGCAGCATGAAATCCCCAACCAGTCTCCAGAGAATCCATACCTAATCAACGTTTTCAGAACGGGGTCTTCACGATCAGCCGAGGCCTATGCTGTGGTTGCCAGCCTCCAGGTGGGGCCTGGAGATCTATCAGAATTTCAACTGATCTCCAGACTGCAGAGATCAGTTCCCCTTAGGGTTGCCAGTTCTGGGTTTGTTTGTTTATTTAGATTTGTGAATCAACCAATCCCTGCACAAGGCTCTGGGCGATGTACAACAGTTAAAACAATGTTAAAATTAATAACATCTGTAAATCCGTTACATCATCTCAGATGGCGTCGATAATTTTCTTCGTATCCACTCCGGACTGCTGCTGTCTTGTGAGCAGGGCGTGGAGGGGGCCGAAGTGCAAAGGCGGAGGAAAACGACATGGAGATTTTGGGGGTGGAGCCTGAGGAGGGCGGGGATTGGGGAGGGGAGGGACCTCAGCAGGGCTTAATACCGTCAAGTCCACCCTCCAAAACAGCCATTTTCTCCAGGGGAACTGATCTCTAATCTGACTCTAATCTGGGAGAACCGGGTTTGATTCCCCACTCCTCCACCTGCAGCTGCTGGTGTGACCTTGGGTCAGTCACAAGTTCTTTCAGAGCTGTTCTCTCAAGGGCAGTCGTCGAGAGAGCTCTCTCAGCCCCACCTACCTCACAGGGTGTCTGTTGTGGGGAGGGGAAGAGAAAGGGATTGTAAACTGCTCTGAGGCTCCCTCGGGTAGTGAGGGGCGGGGTATAAATCCAGTCTCTTCTTTGTCTTCTTCTCTGTAATCTGGAGATTAAATATGATAGTGGGAGATCTCCAGCTGCCGCCGGGAGGTTGGCAACAACACTCGTTTCCCTGGAGAAAGACGGCTGCTTTGGAGGGTGGGATTCTACAGGGGTTATATCCCACCGAGGTGCCTCCCCTTCCCAAACCCCGCTCTGTCCAGGCACTCCCCCCCCACACCTCCAGGAATTTCCCGACACGGAGTTGGCAACTGCAGTGCGACCGGCAACTGCCTGCCTGCCTGCGGGTTCCATCCGGGGCTCGGACCTCCCTCTCCTTTGCCCTTTCAAACGTCTGCAGTCTAACGCAGAGGACAGAGAGGGATCCTCTCTGGCTGGTTTCCCACTTGGCAGCCACGGCAGGCTGAGTGTCGATCCACGCCTTCAAAACCCGGCAGCGCCGTTCCAGCCTGGCGCGCCACTTTTGTCGGCTGTCGTAGCGAAGCGGTGCCGTTGTGCCCGACGAGCTGAACCAGGGGAAAGGTCACCTGTGGTTCCGGCTGCACAACCTTTGGGCCCTCCCGCCGAAAACTGTTTTCATGCCCCTTCCTAACCAATTAGGGTTGGCAGCCTCCAGGTGGGGCTCTCCTGCTTTTACAACTCATCTCCAGCCGACAGAGATCTGTTCCCCTGGAGAAAATGGCAAGCTGTGGAGGGTGGACTCACTGTACCGTGCTGAGGCCCCTCCCCTCCCCAGACCCCGCCCTCTCCCAGATCCACCCCCCAAAGTCTCCAGGTATTTTCCAGCCCAGACCTGGCAACCAATGTTCCCTCTAAGCTGTGGAGTCTTGTGAGCAAACATTCTAGTTTGTGAGCTCCTGGCATTAAAGCTGTGAGCGAGCGATTTGGCGACTGCATACATCAGTTTGCTCTGGAGCCCTCCTTCCCGAGCTGAGACAAAAATGGGTGAGCCGGAGGCTAAGAACCTGTGAGCTAGCTCACACTAACTCAGCTTAGAGGGAACACTGGCAACCCTATACCCGGTGCTCGGTGTAAGGTGGGGTCCAGAGATGGCACAGTTCCCCTGGAGAAAGTGGCTGCTTTGGAGGGTTGACTGCAGGGCACTATAACTGGCTGCGATCCCACCCCCCCAACTCCACCCCCAAATCTCCAGGAATTTCCCGACACGGAGTTGGTAACCCTACCGATGGGTTGAATCCAGCCATTCTCGGGGAAAGCCTCCCGGCGGGCCTAGCAGCGGAAGGGTTAAATCCCTGCCCGCAGAGCAACCTGCAACTGGAGAGGTGTTTCCCATGGGAATGTGGCAACTCTTACCCTGCCCTCTTCTTCTTTTTTGTTTTCGGCAGGAGAAGGCGCGGCTGCAGGAGGAACGCCACAAGGTCGAGGAGTTGCAGCGGCAGCACGCCGAGTCGCAGACGCATCTCGACAACCAGCCCGAATCCATGCGGGAGCGGATGCAGAGCCAGCTTCAGGAGGTGAGCGGGGAGAGGGGCTCAGAAGCAGCCGGCCGTGCAGGCAGAGAGCTCTGCTGAGACTGGATAGCCAGTGGGGAGCGGCCGGAGGATTGCAAACTTGCTGGTGGGGTGTGGTGGTCGGACTAGGATCTGGGAGACCCAGGTTTGAATCCCCGCTCTGCCATGGAAGCTCACTGGGGGACCTTGGGCCAATCACCCGCTCTCTGCCACGCCTGCCTCAGAGGGTTCTGTGAGCCAGTGTGGTGTAGTGGCTAAGAGCAGCAGGACTCTAATCTGGAGGAGCTGGTTCGTTTCCACAGTTCTCCACGTGCAGCCAGCTGGGTGACCTTGGGTCAGTCACAGTTCTCTCAAAGGTCTCTCAGCCCTGCCTACCTCACAGGGTGTCTGTTGTGGGGAGAGGAAGGGAAGGTGACTGTACGCCACTCTGAGACTCTGAGTGAAGGGCGGAGTATTAATCCAACTCCTCCTCTTCCTCCTCTTCTTCTTCTTCTCCTCCTCCTCCTCCTCCTGATAAAGTGGAGGGCAAGTTTTGGGTCCCCTTTGGGGAGAAAAGTGGGTATAAATTAAGTAAGCAAGTAGAGAAATGCATACCCGCCCCCCTATTTTTCTAAACCCTCCTCGCATGTAGAAAGCTAGGTATCAGGGTTGTAACTCAATCTTCTCTCCAGTGCTAGTTTCCTATGCGTGGGTTTGTTTTTTAAAAAAAGAGAAGGTGCATTCAAACAAGGCAAGTCTCCCGCCTCCCCTTTCTCGCCCTGGCAGTCTAAAGTTGTGTACCCCAAGAAATGTGATCCCCCCCTCCCCTCCTGCCCAAGATCTCCTGTTTGCAAAAACCCTTTAACTAGCCACATTCTGCCTGCTAGCAATCCTATGCTGACCAGAAACGGGGGGTCTGCAACCCGTGGGTCCTACCGTCCTCAGGGGCAGAAGCCGGAAGTTGACTCTTGACTCTCTCCCCCAGACGTCTGAGATGCTAGATGGAGCCCTGAGGAGCTACGAGGACCTGGAGTTCCAGCAGTTGGAGAGGGAGAGCCGTTTGGAGGAGGAGAAAGAAGCTGCCTGTCAGGCCTTGGCCCAGGAGATCACCCAGCTTCAGAACAGCATTAATCAGAGGAAGGTGAGGAGCAGCAGGCCCTGATCCCTGGGGATCCAGTCCCGGGGCTCGGAAATCGACCCCGGTGTTCTCTCGGCAGGAGAAGTTATCCCGCTTCCCGCCTATGCGTGGGTTATTCCGCCTTCGCCCACTGCATTCCTAGGCTGCCCTCTGCGTACGTTCAGTGAGCACCTGTACGTGGCAGCGGGAGGCATCTCTCGTGAGTCAGAAGCTTAGGCCGTCGCGCCCCGGGGGGGTGACGTGCAAATCCGGATCCTTGGAAATCAAAACTGCAAAGCTAAATTGATGTAAGGGAGAGGCGTGGTTGCCTAGAGATTGAGCGAGCACGCCCATGCAGGCCTACTTGGAAGTAAGTCCTGTTTTGCTCAATGGGGCTTACACCCAAGAAAGCGTTCCCAGATTTCACTGGGCAGGAAGCAGTGTTCCCTCTCAGCTGAGTCCGTGTGAGCTAGCTCACAGTTTTTTGGTCTCCGGCTCACACATTTTCTCCTACCAACCTAGCCGTTCGAAAGCAAGAAATTGCAAGTAGATAAATAGGTACCGCTTCAGTGGGAAGGTAACAGTGTTCTGTGCGCCTTGGTGTTTAGTCATGCCGGCCACATGACCATGGAAACATCTTCGGACAGCGCTGGCTCTTCGGCTTTGAAACGGAGATGAGCACCGCAACCCTAGAGTCGGATTCGACTGGCTTTCGAGCAAGGGAACCTTTACCTTTACACACCTTTTTGCCTTAGGAAGGATGGCCCCAGAGCAAACGGCTCGCTCATAATTTTAATGCCAGTAGCTCACAGAGTCGAATTTTTGCTCGCAAGACTCCGCAGCTTAGAGGGAGCATTGGTGGGAAGGTCATTTTTACACGAGCGATGATAACATGTTAAGCGGTGGGGCCTGGTGCTGGAAAGAGCCTGTTTGTTTCTGTTTATGCCGCTATGGTTCCAAAGTGTTACCCAATGAAGAAGTTGCTGGTGGGTGGTTTTTGTAAGCGGGATGTAACGCCACAGAGCCCCCTCTCCACCGCTGCCAGTTTCTCCAGGGAAACCGATCTCTGTAGTCGTCTGGATATCTGATTTAATTCCTGGAGATCACCAGGCTGCACCTGGAGGCTGGCAACCTTAATCAGAAGACCCGTGGCACCTCTGAGATGAAAACAATTCATTCCGGAAGACGTTTCCATGAGTCAGGGCTTCCTTCATCTGATACGAGAAGTGTACAACCATAGCAGATAGATTTCAAGTCACTGTTCTGCAGGGGTCATTTAATAGAAAAAGATGTGCAGGAGCTCATTAGCATAACTCATTAGCATAACTTATTTGCATAGGTCACACCCCCCGGACATCACCGGAAGTGTGTCAGCAGGCAACACCCACCGCTCAGGCTCCACTGGACTCTTTTGGATTGCTAGCTATTGGGGGGGGGGGGCACACGGATCTGTCCTCACAGAGGAGGGAGAGCTTGTACCTGAATAAACCTTGGCCTTAAAGCTGCCACTGGACTGTTTTGGGCTGCTTTCTGGGGGGGAGCTCTGCAGCTTACCTGGCTGCTTCTCGCTCTGACTGGGGGCTGCTGGGAGCAGGGGGTGGGGCTTGTTGCATGTGCCCGCCCCCTGGGCTCCTTACTGCCGGAGCGCCGCTCCTGTGCGCTCCTGCAGGAAATGACCCCTGCTGTTCTGGCTTGGAAGCAACACAGAGGTGGAAGGGTTCTCTGTCTTGCCCCGGAGCTTTTTTTGGGGGTTCTAACCCAGTCCTCTCCTCCCATCCAGAGGAAGGTGCAGAGGCTGGAAGGGCAGGCCCGTTTGACTCGGGAGCAGATGGTGGGGGAGAGCCAGCGCTTTGCACAGGAGAAGGGAGAGGCCGTCAGGAGTCTCAACGCGGTAAGAAATCCCCAAGTTTGCCAAGAGCCGGGAAAGTAACTCAGAGGCCTGTTTCCCAACCTCTCGCATACCAACCCGATTCCACCTTGCATTCGACAATAAAAACAGAATTTGGGACCCAGGACTGACTCTCCGGGCTGTGTTTCCCAACGCCGGCTTAACAACCTGCTTCTCCGCCCCCACGCAGCAATAAAAACAGAATTCGAAACCTAGTTCTCCATTACTAAATCTCGTTCTCTTGCCTGAGGATTAAACCAAACCAAACCACAGAAATTCTGGCTTCTGCTTTTCCTGGGTGTTGCTAGGAGGTTTGTTTTGAATGTGTGCTTCACACAACTAGGGAAGTTTGTTTTTCCTGCCGGTTTCCAAAATCTGAGCATTTTTCAGAAGGGAAGGAAGGAAGGTCGGCTAGGTAGAGGGGGGTCACTTAGGGACAGACGACATGTACGGGTTTTTAACAAGTTGGGTCTCGGTTCCCCAGACCCAACGGGGATTCCCCACAGCCGCGTGGCTACTGCAACAAATGGCTTTTGAAAAGTAAAGGAGAGCCCAAATGGGCTTGAACACCACCACATGCATGTCTAAATACAATTAAAATCATTCATAAAAACAGCCATAAACAAATCAGTTGTCAGTTATCCTAAAGTGCTGGAACAATACTCTAATAAAGTGCGAGAACAGAGATAGTGAAGGGCAGGGTATACATCCAATCTCTCCTCCTCCTCTTCTTCTTCCTCCTCATAGTGAAGGGCAAGGGTATACATCCAATCTCTCCTCCTCCTCCTTCTCCTTCTTCCTCTTCTTCTTCCTCTTCTTATTCCTCCTCCTCCTCTTCCTCCTCCTCCTCCTCTTCTTCTTCCTCTTCTTCTTCCTCCTCCTCTTCTTCTTCCTCTTCTTCTTCTTCCTCCTCCTCTTCTTCTTCCTCTTCTTCCTCCTCCTCCTCCATCCTCCTCCTCCTCCTCCTCTTCTTCTTCTTCTCACAAATGTGTTGTTTGGCCTTAAGCAACTGGCCCTGGTTTAGGGCAAAACCATACATCATCTATAGCTCAGCGACTTCTTCTATCGGGTTTTTGTGTTCTGTTTCCATGATACATTTACTGATGCCGCAAAGTCGAGGAGGAAGACCGGAGTGCTGGGACTGGAGGGTCTTCACCCGTTCCCCTCCCTTTTCTCCCTGCGGGAAATTGCCTGCATCTTTCCCACTATGGCAGGCAAGAGAAACAGTGGGAAGGGACATTTCCAGCAGGAGAAAAACTGCACGCGAGAAACTGTTAAGAAACCCCTTTCCTCTCTATACCCATTTTTCTGCTCCTGCACCCTCAGCTGTCTTAAAACAAAATTTACACAAAGGAGCTGGGGGGTGGGTGGGCCGCATCTATTGCTATTTGGGAGTCTGCTGCAGGATTTGAAGATTCTTGAGAGAAGTCAGCTGGCTTCCAATAGGCCTCCCTGCTTAATTGCCAATAAAGAGAGACCACAGAGGCGCCACGGGGTCTCCAAGGCACTCTGGGGAAACAGATGTCTGAACGAGACGTCTCTGGAGCGCCCCGCTCTTTAGACAAAGCGGGGCGAGCACACACCCCCTTTCTATCAAAAATCCTGAGCAGGAGATTATCTGAGTTGTTTGCATGTGAGTTTGTTCTGTACGAGCTGGTTGCAGTGGGTACAAGGACGTGATCCCTGCTGGCAAGAAGCAGGGTGGGAAGGAAGGGGTCAGGCGGGCCACACCTGGAGTATTGTGTGCAATTCTGGAGGCCTCACTCCAAAAAGGATGTGGACAGAACGGAGCGGGTGCAGAGGAGTGCGTTGAGGATGATCGGGGGCCCGGAGACCAAGCCCTCTGAGGAAAGGCTGAGGGACTTGGGAATGTTCAGCCTGGAGGAGAGGAGGTTGAGAGGGGACAGGATGGCTCTCTTGAAGTATTTGAAGGGCTGTGTCACTTAGAGGAGGGCAGGGAGCTGTTCCTGTTGGCAGCAGAGGAGAGGCCTGGCAACAATGGATTTAAATTAAGGGTGGGAAGGTGCCGGCTGGATATTAGGAAAAACCTTTTTGTCAGTCAGAGTTGTGCAACAGTGGAATCAGCTGCCTAGGGAGGTGGTGAGCTCCCCCTCTCTGGCTGTCTTGAAGCAGCGTCTGGACAAAGACCTGTCAGGGATACTCTAGGCTGATCCTGCACTGAGCAGGGGGTTGGACTAGATGTCCTCTATGGGTCCTTCCAACTCTGGGATTCTATGATTCTATGATACTTGAATCCCTTCTATTCACCATGTTGGGGTCAGGAAGCCATTTTTCTCCAAGCCAGTTTGGCTGGAGATCCTGGAGGTTTTTTGTCATCTTCTGGGCATGGAACAGGGGGTCACCGGGGGTGTGTGTGTGTGGGAAAGTATTTGTGAATTTCCGGCACTGAGCAGGGGGTTGGACTCGATGACCTGTCTGGCCCTTTCCAACTCTGTGGTTCTGTGATTCTTTCACAAAGGAAGGTGCAATTCTTGATCCAGGTTTCAGGACGAGGCTCTCGTTGTAACCTCTTTGCCTGTCTGTCTTAGGAGAAAAACCGTCTCATGGACATGGGCCAGGAGTACTCGGAAGAGAGTGGGGGGGACTCTCCGGATGGCCAGCAATCCCTCACCCAGGTGAGCCCTTTTGGAGACTTCCTGCTTCGCCACCGTCTCCTTGTCTGTTCATCCATCAAGGCCAGGTTTCCTATTCCCGGCCTGGGCATTCCGGACAGTGTTCCCTCTAAGCTGAGTTAGTGTGAGCCAGCTCACAGTTTTTTAGCCTCTGGCTCACACATTTTTGTCTTAGCTCAAGAAGGATGGCCCCAGAGCAAACTAATTTATGCAGCAGCCAAATTGCTTGCTCACAACTTTGATGCCAGTAGCTCACAAAGTAGAATTTTTGCTCACAAGACTCCACAGCTTAGAGGGATCATTGCCAGACACCAGTGGGTTCATCTGGTTGTATGCCATCTTGGTTTGACAATTCTTGGTTAGGAAATTCCTGGAGATTTGGAGGTGAGGCTTGGGGAGGGGAGAGACCTTTGAAGTGTACGATGCCATCAAAAGGGAATTAGATAAGCATATGGAGCAGAGGTCCATCAGTGGCTATTAGCCACAAGGTATAGATAGGGACTCTGGGGCAAGTGATGCTCTGTCTTCTTGGTGCTTGGGGGGGGGGTCAACAGTGGGAGGTTCTAATGTCCTGGCCCCACTGGTGGACCTCCTGATGGCACCTGGTATTTCTGGCCACTGTGTGATACAGAGTGTTGGACTGGATGGGCCATTGGCCTGATCCAACATTGGCGTCTCTTATGTTCTTATGCTATTAGCCACAAGGTATAGATAGGGACTCTCAGTCTGGGGCAAGTGATGCTCTGTATTCTTGGTGCTTGGGGGGGGCAACAGTGGGAGGGCTCCTAGTGTCCTGGCCCCACTGCTGGACCTCCTGATGGCACTTTTGGCCACTGTGTGACCCAGAGTGTTGGACTAGATGGGCCATTGGCCTGATCCAATATTGGCTTCTCTTATGTTCTTATGACTGCCTGCCTGATGGATAAAAGGAAGGGAAACAACCCCCCCCAGCCACTCTAGCCCTCGACTGACTGGAACACACGTTATGCAGTGGGGCTCACACATTTGGTGAAGGGGGACCACGGCTCAGTGGTAGAGCCCCTGCTTCGCCTGCAGAAGCTCCTAGGTTCAATCCCCCGGCATCTCCGGTCGAAAGGATCGGGCAGCAGGTGTGATGAAGGATTCCTGCCTGAGACCTTGGAGAGCCACTGTCAGGCTGGGTAGACAGGACCAGTGTTCCCTCTAAGCTGAGTTAGTGTGAGCTAGCTCACAGTTTTTTAGCCTCTGGCTCACACATTTTTGCCCTCGCTCAGGAAGGATGGGGCTCCAGAGCAAACTGATTGATGTGGTAGCCTAATTGTTTGCTCACAACTTTAATGCCGGTAGCTCACAAAGTAGAATTTTTGCTCACGAGACTCCACAGCTTAGAGGGAACATTGGACAGGACTGATAATGAGAGACCGACGAGCTGATTCTGTATAAGGTGGCTTCGTGCGTTCCCGAGTCCGCTGCGGCTGTCTTAAAAGGAGAGGGACTGTGGTTCTGTCTCAGAGCAGGGGGTTTGTACACAGAGGGTCCCGGGTTCGATCCCCGGCATCTCCAGCCTAAAGAGCGTCCGGCA